GTTGAGATCTGATCACATTCCAATCAAATACAGTAATAGATAGAGATAAGGGCATGTTTCTACGATTTAGCTGCATAACTTACTCAAGGAAACCCACTTCAATGGTCAGTGAGTTTCTCCTTAGGCTCAGATTGCATTCAGATTGTCCCACAAGCATACTAAGGACTGTAATAAGTTACTTAATTAGTGATCTTATTGTTGACATTCAATGTTATTTCTTTTTGTTGTCTCTGTTTTTAACTTGATTTCAAGGAAAATTTCACTATTAAAAATAAGCATTTTGGCAAGATTATTCTCCCACACACTTATTAGATGAGATTAAAAATCAAAATATGACCCTCAACAGCCTTCTGAAAAAGTCTTAAAAACAGAGGTACAGAGGCTGCAGGTACCTTTTCTATTTACTAAGCTTATGCAAAGGATCCTAAATACCTGTTCTGTGGAGAAAATGGGCTCTAATACATAAAATATAAAATTAGTTTGCATATGGAATAATTATAACTGACATGTTTTCTGTGCCTTTAGCAATATCTTCAACAATGGTGCATAGGACACAGACAAGGAGTGGTCTATGGGCTCTCTCGAGAATCCTTGCATGCCATTTAGAAATCATTGTAGTGATTTTAAATTTCAGTTAAATTTGTAGTGTTATTTATCCTTTGCTGCTGGTGTTACTTCGGTTTTGTCCTAGGCTGCTTCAATTTTTAATATTTCTTATATCTTGTATTTTATATCCTTGATGTATTTGTACACTGCCCAGAAAACTTGGGTTCTTGGGAGGTTTACCAATATATGAACAAATAAAATAAGATGCCAGCAATTTGTTCAGGGACAATCAGATCCATGGATTCCTGAAAAATGAATTGTGCAAATGTATTTGTAGAGAAGCAAAGGCATCCATATCTATCTGTTCAAACATGCAAACAGTAAGCAGCGAACAACAACCAGGCCTTGTGGCACTTTACACACTAACAAATGTTTGTGGCACAAGCTTTCATGGACCCAATCCCCTTCATCAGATGTTTTCAGCAAACAACTGAAAATAGATCCCAGTGGCTCTGCTATTTGACACTTCTTTTGTTTTAGTTACTGGTACAAGTGGGACCCAGTACAAGGGCAACACAGTGCTGCGGTGGGTTCGGGTTAGGGTCTTCCATCTTCCGGTCGTATCATCTTCCAGGAAGTTTCTGGTCCCAGTGCAGGCAGAAGGCAGATTGAAACTATTGGTAGATCCTTGGTTGATTTGCCACAGTTTAATAGCAAGTAAAACTGAAAGATAAAACCCCAGAATCTCTGTCATGACTGAGCTTGTGCCCCTTGCTGATCTCTTAATATACCTCACCTGTAAAGTATGAGTCTGCATGGGTCGTCTTTAACCAGAACTTCTTGCAGCTCTGTTGGCCAGTTGGACAATTTTGACTCAGAATCCCTAATTATACTAACTAGAGTTTAGATGCAGTTTTGTTTCCATACATAAACCATATGGCTAATGGGATACCCTAGGCAATTTTATTTTGTTTTATCTGGGATATTTCCTGGCCGTCCATCACTCTGCATCTCTGGGCAGCTCACAACAAGATCAGTAAATACAACAGTAATCAGTGGCAATCAGTTCATCTGCCAACCCTCACCCACTTGATTAGTGGACTTTGAGATTCTAGGGAAAGCAGTGCACCCCATAGGCTCAAAGTCTGACCACCTCTTATTCCTTTCCTACTCCCTACCTCTTATGGTTCTCAGATAAACAAAGTTGGAAGGGGCCATTTAGTTTATCCAGCTCAACCCTTCTGCTCGGCAGGGAATCTTTTGGCAAAAGGAATAGGCTTTTGGAGACAGATGAGAAAAAGGCTCAGAGGAGGCCAAAATTAGCTGCTGCCCAGGGACATGTGTAAGCTTGACCTGGAAGCTAAGTCGGGAAGGTCTAATATGTGGTGAAGCTGGAGAAAAAACAGCTCTCCAACTCCATTCTGCAACCTGGACTGGCTCACACCAGGGGCAGCAGAGTGCAGAAAAGAAGATGTCTCCCAGACTCCATCCTGTCATGGTATGACCTCATATGGAGTCTGAGCTTTCAAGGCCAGGCAATACAAACCTTGCCATTATTACAAATCTTGAGCATTTTTTCAGAAAATGATAGAGATACTCACAGCCAAGGCATATGAAATGTTACAAGAGATGAGTGGTTACAGAAATGTGGTAAGTAAGTAAATAAATAGTGTGACTTGATCTCCAGGCTCTGGAGATTAAATGTTTCTGAAATGCAGCAATGGAGGGTAGGCAGATGGGGTGATTTATCTCTTCAGAAAGTTATCGGTTCTGTGACAAAGTTTGTAAGAGTACAAATGTTTGCCTGGCATTAGGGTAGCACTGAGGAAATACTGTAATGCACAATTTGTGGCAGTTTTATCACATTACTGTTATTGCCAGTTTGAAACAGATGGTTTTGCTTGCTAAAGAGTTTGTTGAAATTCTTTTGTTAAAAATGGGAATGGGGGAATGACTTCTCTCAAAAATTGCACATGGGAACCCATTTGTAACAAATTTTCTAGTGCAAAAGAAAAAAAAAGATTGTTCGAGAGAAGGTCACTGCCATCATGGCCGAGAATTTTATAAAACCATAACAACTTGACATTCCTGAAAGTAGGAAGGCAAATAACTCCATCAAAACTGGCTCTGTTTGCCCAGCTTGAATGATAATATATCTGTATGTGAGAGTATTCACTATGCCCTGCTTGATGGCGAAGCCATTGAGAATCAGTTCATTAGCCTCTCAGGAGAGAGCTACGGAGCAGATGCTGCCATTTCTCGTGTGTGGGAAGGCAAGAGTTATGTGTAAAGGGAGAGTTTAATTCTGAAGTGAGTCTACACTGTAGTGGAATCACAAAGAAATCAAGGCTACTAATGGAATAGGTGGACAAGACTATTGTGGTTAATTTTCTGCTCTATGTCTCTCATTAGTTCTCTCTAATACTTTAGAAAGGCTAAATATTAATGAGCAATTAAAGGCATGTCATCTAAGAAATCTCTAGCAGAGATGTGATTGTGTACAGCATCATTCTCCATCAAGGTGAGCATTTTATTGCATAACTGCATTGCCTCATTTGTGGAATTTTATGGGGGTATGTTCTCAATTAAATCATCTTTTAATGTGAAGCCCCCCTCCATTTTCAAAGAGGGTAGTAGAAGGGACATGGGGAATTACAGACCGGTTAGCCTTACGTCCATTGTAGGAAAAGCAATGGAAAGGCTCATAATAGAGAGAGATCTAGTGATGCTAGATAGGGAAGGGAGGCTGACAGCCACACAACACGGCTTCCGCAAAAACAGGTCCTGCCAGACAAACCTTCTGGAATTCTATGACAAGGTTTCGAGATGGCTAGATGGAGGGGATGCAGTGGATGTGGTATACCTGGATTTCAGCAAGGCCTTTGACAAAGTGCTCGTGATATCCTGGTGAAGAAACTGAGGAGTTTTGGGATACACCAAAGTACTGTCCGGTGGATTAGGGCATGGTTGACTGACCAAAAGCAGAAGGTAACCATTAGCAGGGAATCATCGGGATGGCGACCAGTGACAAGCGGGGTCCCTCAGGGCTCTGTCCTGGGGCCGATCCTGTTTAATCTTTTCATAAATGGCATGGAAGAAGGGGTGAACAGTCTGCTGATCAAATTCACAGACGATACTAAAACTGGAGCAGTGGCCACAACTGAGGAGCAGGTACTCCAGATCCTAAAGGATCTGGACAGACTATGGAAGTGGGTAGGAGACAACAGGATGGCGTTCAATGTGGATAAGTGCAAGGTCTTGCACTTGGGGCATAGGAATGGCTGTCATAAGTACAGGTTAGGGGACAAGTGGCTGGAGAGCAGCACTTGTGAAAGGGACCTCAGGGTGCTGGTTGACTGCAGGCTAAACATGAGTCAGCAGTGTGATGCGGTGGTCAAGAGGGCGAACGCCACCCTTGGTTGCATGGCCAGAAGTGTGGCTTCTAGATCGAGAGAGGTATTACCACCACTCTATACGACTCTGGTGCGCCCGCAACTGGAGTATTGTGTTCAGTTTTGGGCCCCTCATTACAGAAAGGATATAGCCAGGTTAGAGTCAGTGCAGCGTAGGGCCACAAGGTTGGTGGCCAGTTTGCAGGGGATGGGATATGGGGTGAGACTGAGGGAACTGGGTCTCTTCAGCCTGGAGAAGAGGAGACTCAGAGGGGATATGCTGGCGACATACAGGTATGCGAGGGGATGTCACACAGAGGTGGGTAGAGACCTGTTCTCCCCTGCAGAGGAAGGCAGGACACACTCCAGTGGAGCAAAGCTCAGGGAGCCAAGTTCCGTTTGGATGCCAGGAAGCACTTCCTGACAGTTAGGACCCCGAGGGTGTGGAATGGGCTCCCATGAGAGGTCGTTGAGGCCCCATCAGTGTGGGTGTTCAAGGATAGACTGGACGTCCACATGGTGGGCGTGTCGTGAGTGGAACCGGCTTGTGCCAGAGGTCAGACTAGATGGCCCGGGAGGCCCCTTCTGACTCGCTCTGTTTCTATGTTACTATGTTTCCACCTTGATTTCCTGTCATTTGATCCATTTTTTCTTATTATAAAACAATCAATTGAGGAAGAAATGAATGGGGGCAGCACAATTCTTTTTGTCCATTGCTGAAAGAATCCCTCCATCTGGAAGCACCCTGTGACTCTTCATTGTATACGTTCTGTTGGATTGCTTTCCCCATCCAGTATATGCTTTAAAGTTCTTCTCCATTTCTTCTTCAGCCACCTGGGTTGGAGGCGGTTACATCAATGGGACTGCTGAAGCCGTGTATGTGCCCGGCTTTGGGTTGGCTTGGGCACAGGCACCCATTGGATATGCACTTAGCCTTGTTGTAGGTAAGCAAAAGGAATGAATGCAGCACATGGAAAGGCTCTCACTGAAAGCCAGTGTGGTGTGGTGATGAGAGCATTGGACTGGGGACCTGGGAGGTCTGGGTTCTAGTCCCCATTCAGCCATGGTCAGTCACTTAGTCTCAGCCTAACCTAACTCACAATGCTTTTTGTGGTTGAGAGGATGAAATGGAGAGGAAGAGGACCCTATAAGCCACATTTGGTTCCTTGCAAGAGGAAGAAAGCCAGGGTATAAATGCTTATAGCAATAGTAGTGAACTCAAGGCATTGTTCATTTCTTTTCATCAGCTTCATTCTTTCATCATGCAACCCCTATCCCCCGGCTATCTTTTCATGTAAATGAATGCCTAGAAGTCAGGCAGGGGAGGAATCAGCCTCAGAGATAGAAGAGAACCCTTTCAGAACTGAGTTCAGCTGGTCTACAATAGAATATTGAAAACTGTTCCACATGTATGTATGTATTTGATTTTTAGCCCACTCCCATTAGCCACATGGCTCCCTGGGCTGGTTACAAACAAGCTGTGTGGTGCCTTTGGAGGGCATGGAGAAGTCCTCTTGCATGAGCAGAGATCCCAGTGCAGACAGGCTTCTGCAGGAGGGCCAGGTGGCTCCAGGCCTTCAGGTAGAACCAGAGCATCCAAAGGGGCATCTCCCTTCCCACACACCTGCTCAGTGCATCTTCAGAGGCCCTCCTCCAGGTGCCCCTGCCAAAAGAAGCCAGGTGGGTGACTACAAAAGAGTGACCCCCCCACCCCCATGAAATAAATGCCCCAAAGAGGTTTGCCTACATTGTTGTCTTTTTGATGCCAAGCAAACCTTTATTTTCTCCCAGACATTTCATAACCCTAGTTCTTGGTTATTACAGCAGTTTGATCCATTCCTGTTATTTTTTATTTTGCACTATATTATATTTATGTTTCTAAATATTTGCATTGGATTTCATATTTTAATAGTTCTGTGGCATTCTAGACTTTAACTGTTGTAATCTACCTGGAGACATTCATTATTGTGAAGGTTATACATTTAATGTATAGATAAATAAGTAGATTCAATCAGCTGAAATCAATTGGACTTGTTGGGCTTGACTAACATCTGCTTGACTTTACTAAGTCCAGATACAACCCCTGGTGTGTGTTTTTTTTTTTTTTGACTACCACAACATTCTGATGAGTAACACTCCTCCATTGATAGTACATTCCCAGAAACAGTTACAATGAAAAGAAACAGTCCTGTGATCATATTCCCATTCTTTTGACACTAATTGCTAGTAATAATGCAATGGGCAGTTAATTATCTTATCAGTCAAAAAGAGTCCTTGGTCTGCTATCTTACACACTAACCACGTTACTTGCAAACTCAGTTAAATGTAGGATATACAAATTTCCAAGCCCTGTTATTAATGGGCTGCCTATACTAAGCAGGAAAATCCACAAGAGCTGAGCATTTGTTATATTTCATACTATACTTGCAGACCTCCACTGAATTCACTTCTTTGTTTTAAGTACTAAAGTTATATCTGTAAGGAAATCAGAATTTACTGGTGAGTTCTCCACAAGTCATTTCCCATCTACTAAAATTTGGAGTGGGCTAGAAGTGGCTGCCTGGACATTAAGATCCACCAATATCCATGCACAGATATAGAAAAAGTATAATCAGCTCTTTCCTACATCAAATATCCTTTGAATGGGGTTGGAGAAGACACCAGGAATTTTAAATGGAAACAGCGCAGAGCATTTTCATTGGGCCAGTCGTATCATTGTGCTGTGCCACTTCCCATGCCTAGTTTCATACTTCTAACTATTATTTGTTAGGCTTAATGATCAGTTATCATAAGATATTCTAGCTCCTTCTAAGCCATTTAGTCTAAAAGTGATACTAATGTGCTTGTTTATCTGAAGAAACTTGAAAAGTTCCCAATTCTGTGCTAAGCATCCTGTCTCTCCACCCTGCAGTTTGCAATTAATCTAAAGCAGGCGCATGAACTACAAGCTTTCCCGGAAGTGCCTCTTCTGCTGAGTCAAAATGATTCTGCTACCCAACACCCACTTCCTAAAATGCACTCCAGCCCGAACTAGGTCCACAGCAATCAGCAAGCAGGCCTATGGAACCAGTCCTTGGCTTTCTTAGCTGTCCCTGCAATTCCTTTCTAGACTATCTCATGCTATTTATTCCACACTTAGCAAAAAGCAAAATCCAATGACAGGATTAGATGGCGTTCTGTCTTAAATAAGCTCAGTTACATTGCCTTTTAAGCCTCTTACATTTGCGACCATTTCACATAATCTGGATTTTAGGCCCTCTCTGGCTTACTGGATAAATTAATGGTCCTTTTCAAAGGGAACATTTCAGAGGATTCATGCTTCGTGGATTTCTTTTCATGGGCATGAAGAACTTCTCCATGCACACAAGTATTTCTTTTTGTCTGAGCAGAAGACAGAAAGAAGTTAGGCAAGACAAAGAAGTATCTGCCTGGGAAGAATTCGTGGTTCAAGGTGCGGCACAAAATTAAAATCTTTGGTCCAGTGCATATTTGCAGCACTTTAGGAAATGTAACTATACAGAAATATATATGTAGAACCATAGATTTAGATCTATTATTTGGAGAGGAAAGCTATGTTGGGCCAGCTCATATCATCCCAGTTCTTTATATCTACGATCTTTCTGATATTTGATGTTTCAGGTGGCTTGTTTTTCGCCAAGCCCATGCGTTCCAAAGGCTACGTGACGATGTTGGACCCCTTTCAGCAAATTTATGGGAAACGGATGGGAGGGCTTATTTTCATACCTGCCCTGCTGGGAGAAATGTTCTGGGCTGCAGCCATCTTCTCTGCATTAGGTAAGGAATGCCACTGTTGGAAGCAGAGACAACCCGCAAGGGTCAGTGCAGATGGTGGATGTCCATAGTGCAGAGTGAATGCGAAATGTGAGAAATGTATGTGTGCATTCACATAAGCATACGTAGTCCTAAAATCAAAATCATACTTACATAAAAACACTAACTGGTGTGCTCAAAGACCCAAGTTGACAACCATGAGCTGATACTGGTTTATCAGAAAACAGATAATACAATAGTATGCAGAAATGACAGGTGTCCTTTTATTTATAGTAATATTTGAGGAGATTTATCATAAAGGGCTTTTCCTCTACAACTCACTTTAACTTTAAAGAGATTTTGAGTGATTATGTTGCAACCGAAAATGGACTTGCTAAGTTATCTCAGGATTTGCATGTTGCAGTTTGATTACCCTAAAAGACCTGGCTAGAGAAATACTTCTTTTTCATTACACTAAACAGTATGATCAAATAATGTAGAAGATTTATCCTTATAGAATATAAAAGAGTATATAGAATATATTTAGAAAACATGATTTTGATGCACACATACTAAGAAATGCTGAGTTTTCGGTACTGATTTACTATTCAGTCCTAGGTCTACAGCGCCACCACACCCAGCAATGCCCAGCTAGTTGTCTGAACCAAGGATTGCACCCTTGGAGAGTCTAGATCCAGTTTGTGGAGGGGAAGCAAGTTTCATGTCTCATACATGGAACAGTTACCATGCAACATGGCTACCATTGGCCATGGTGATTCGGATTACTGCAATTTGTGGTCTAAAATATCCAGAGTGCAACAAATTGGGGAAGGCTGTCCTAGACTTTGCAGTATTTTGGAATATTCCTAAACTTCAGTCCATGGTGGTATTTTGTTTCCAAAGTTTTTTCATTCTGTTGCAAAACAATAAATGAAGTTTAATAGTATTTTTAACCTGGGATAGGAAGAAATATTTCAGTAAGTCATCTTTGCGATGTTTGCTAATTCAAAACAAAACAAATCCAACTGCACATACAAAGCTGGTTTGCAGTGAAGTCTTTTAAAAATAAAATAATCAACCTTGTTTCCAGCTGAGCTCTGATTAGCTGGAAAGCAGTGGGGAGCTTTTAAACCATAATTTTATTGCAAGTGCTCAAGAGATGAAGAATAAACTGCATGCTGAGGTGATGGAAACTGAGTGGCTTAAACAACTTTCAGGGAATTTAAAATAGGTGTTCCTCTAACACTGCTCCATTTAAGTGAACGCTCTCGGTGGCATTTCACAAGGAAGCAGCAAACACTGTAAATGCCTTTTAAGTGTGTTATTCTTACAAAAGGACCACTTGCCATCTAAGGGCTGGTTTTCCTCAGTTATAGGTACTAGGAAAACACAGAGACAAGGCTCACAAAACGTGACAACTCATCATAGATTATAACCTGTTGCAAACCTGAAGCCATCCTTACAGAGTGATTCTTTAAGGACAGCTAGCTGTCCTGACAACTCATGCATTCTTCTGGGCGATGTGATATCCATGATGAATCGCCCTGTTATCCCAACCCAAGAGACCAATTCCATCATGGGTTTTTGAAACTCTTGCTTAGCATGACCACAAATTGTTTCAGGCTCACCATGGCATTACAGAATCAATTTTTTTTCATGAGATAGTTAAAGCTAGCTATCAAGCTATCTTTGGCCAGAATCACATTGGAGAGGCTATCTGCAATTCAGGAATATTTTAATGTGTCCCCCCTCACATTTTTTGTAAATACTGTGGTACCTTGGCTCACAAACTTAATCTGTTCATGACCCAAATTGGTCGTGAGCCAAGTCAAATTTCCCGATAAGGTTCAATGTAAATAAGGTTAATCCGTTCTGGCTGTGATCACAGGGGCATTTATGCAGAGCAGACAGGCACGATTGTGGCCATCTCCCCCCGCCCTCCAAGTATGACCACGATCTTGCCTGTCTTCCCTGCAGGAGTGCGACCACAATCGCGGCCATCTCATCCCCCCCCCCCCACAAGCACGACTGCGATTGCACCCCTGCAGGAAAGATGGGCATGATTACGATCGTCACCTGATGTGGAGTTTGCAACCTGAGGAAAAATTTTTCCTTAATTTCTGTTTGCAACCCGATTTGGTTGTGAACTGAGGCATCCATGAGCCGAGGTACCACTGTACTCACACTTGTGCAGCAAAGCATTCACAGTTGCATGATTGAAGGATGCCTAAGATGGGCAACAAGCCACAGGAAGCCTGCTGGCAAAGTCCAGTAGGTGTTCACCTGGGCATTGCCCTGCAGAGGTAGCAGGTAAGGTCATCCCCCACTGCAGCTGTCCCTGACAACTGCCAAAATATTATCTGTCAGATGTTTCCAAAGGGACAAGTGATCTTAGCTCATGAAAAGGGAATAGCAGCTCATTCATCTCCTTTATGGCAAGATGTTAAGAATGCTCTCACTTTTGCAGTTAATTCCGGAGATTCCACCACCATAGGAATATACAAAATTGCAAGCTACCCCGTTTACTGGAATAGTGACTGAGTAAGCTCAATTTTTCAACTGAGATTTAGGAAGACTATTTTAAAAATGGAAAGTATACAGGAAGTGTGCAGTAAAGCAAACAGATATACAGACTCAATATACAACCTGTGGAAAAATAAGTGCACTTGCAGATTCTGTGAAGGCCAGGATGGGTACCTGGTGGACTTTGCCAGTAGACCTTCCCTTGTACATTTCCTACCTAAAACTTCTCAATTCTACATACAAGCAATTGTGACTGCCTGCAGTTGTGTACATGGAGGTGAAAAACAAATAACTGTAAGTTTTACAAACATTGGTAAAAATTGGTGTGTGTGTGTGTGTGTGTGTGTGTGTGTGTAAATGAAATATTAAAATACTATTGAAGTGTTTAATTTTAATGATTTAAAAAAATCTACCACAGATAGGTTGCCAAAGGGTGCTGCTTGGGCACTTTGACGAGGTAGCCCATAGCTATCAAAATTTATTATTTTATTTATTTACTGGGGATATTTCTAACCTGTCCAATCACTATGCATCTCTGGATGGCTTACAAACAAAATTCAATAAATACAACGGTATAAAAGATCATATAATACCCTAAACAATAATAAGACCAATAACCCACAACTGAAATAAAACATAATTAAAATCTTTTAAACATTAAAATACTGGATGAATAAAAAGGTCTTGACCTGCCACTGGAAAGCATATAATGTTGGCACCAGGCGGACATCTCTAGGAAGTGCATTCCACAGCCGGGGCACCACCGCAGAGAAGGCCCTCCTCCGGGTATTCTGTCTCCTGATCTCCTTCAAGGAGGGTTCCCAGAGCAGGGTCTCTGCTGCAGATCTTAAGGGGTGGGAGGGCATGTTGGGGAAAAAAACATTCCTTCAGCTGTCCTGGTCCCAAGCCTTTTAGGGCTTTATAGGTCATAACCAGCACCTTAAATTGGGCCTGGACTTCAATGGGAAGCCAGTGAAGCTGACAGAGGACTGGAATTATATGAGAGTGATGACCAGTCCCTCTGGGTCCAGGGACACCTTCTTCAGGATGGGTCTGGTCACCGCCTCCTTTAAAGGCCCTCCCTCAGTGAGGGTTGATGGCCTCCCGGACCCAGGTACCAATCCCATGTTTGGCTTTAGTGAGCAGCCATGAAGGGCAAGGGTTGGGTAAGCTGGTGGCAGGACGTACCAATCCAAGCACCTTGTCCACTTCATTGTGCTGCATCAACTGAAAATCATCCAACACTGATGGACCAGACAGGGCTCTAGACACCTCCTTACAAAATGCTTACAAAATATGACTTGTAAATTAGCTTTTGTGATTTTAAGGGGGATTGAAAATGTTTTAAAGTTTAAAAGGGGGGGGGAATCACATGACCAAAACAGACAGACTATGTAGACCAGTCTTCAGAAAAGACACAGTATAGATTAGACTACTTGATGCATCTGTCTTATCAGCAAATAATGGGTTTATTCTAGAGCATCTGGGCTGAGCTGTCATGTTGAAATGCATTTTTCTTTTCCTCCCTGAACTTTAATCCCTTTTGCAGGTGCCACCATAAGTGTGATCATCAAGGTCAATATATACAGTTCAGTCATCATTTCTGCCCTCATCGCAACTCTTTACACACTAGTGGGTGGCCTTTACTCAGTAGCCTATACTGATGTGGTCCAGCTATTCTGCATTTTCCTAGGACTGGTGAGTGTCTTTGTATCTCTCCATGCCTAAAGCGTTATGATCTTGCCCTATTCAGAAGGTTAGAAGCTTTGTTTGAACCTAAATTATAGGAAAGATGCTGAAAAGCTGTGCAGAGAAGAAGAAATGTCCTTCTTCATCAAATACTACAAATCCAACTATGCTTTATATTATCTGCGTACTGTAGAGAGGCAACATGTCCTTGTCCTTTTCAAGCCTCCAAAGATGTGTCCTATGCCTGTGGGTCAGAAAAGAACTAGAGGCACAGTTGCTCTTCACACAACATCAGGATACCCCTCCCTCAATAGCAAAGAATTCACATTCATATGGCTCCCAGTAGGTGTCAAGGGGCAAAGTTCAGGCGAGGATCTTCATAGTTCCTTAACGTGTTTCATGAATCGCCTTTTCTCCTGTATAACTTGGCTGATGCTCTATGCACACAATGGCACTTCCCCAAACTCCTTCACACAGTTGAGGGTGAGAGGTGTTCCCATGCCCTAAGGCAACTTGCCCAGTTATAATACGGCAGAATTTCATTTGATTATACCAAAGAATCAGCTACAGGCTTAATACAAGCTTGCAGTACATTCATCCTTGCAAGATGTAATGTTCTACTGGCAATAGTACTTTATGGCAGATTTTTGAAAATTACATTTCAAAGCAGATTGGGTCTATGTACAATTGGAATCCCTGAAACTCTGCCACAGGTATTTTTATTGTGTAATTTCTACTTTTATTTGAGATGTCACATAATGTCTGACCAGTTTTCCAAGGCATCCAGATAAAATATAGCTAATGACTGCCTATCAAATAAGGTCCTTCATATTACCAAACAGGTTGCTACTTTCTTCCAATTGCCATGTGTTTAAGAGCTCATACAAAACTGGAGAAACAGTCTCTTTGCGTTCTGTTATTTATGCTTTGTACTTTAAGCTGAATGGGTCTTGCAAATCTAACAGAGAGATTGACCAACACAGAGTTATGAGATAAGTGGACTCAGACCTTAACTCTGGCGAACACCAATTAGGGTTGCATTGAAACCCATACAAAACGGTAATTTCAGCCCTGAGGTGTACAGGAACACTAATTAGTACTTGTAACATTGATTCCTTCTTTAGCATAATGAACAATATCAGGAGGCAGACATAGGATCTCTTCTCCCCTTTCCTCCTCTTATCTCCTGGGTGTGAGATACCTTCTTCCCCTTTGGTTGCAGTTTAGGGATCAATTGCAGCTTTGATCCTACTCAAGCTCACCTGAGCAGCATGAGATGCTTTGGGAGGCTCATCCTTGAAGGCTGCAGTGAAGAGGAGAGCTTGGGCACAGAGATTGCATGGAGACTGAGAGGGGTCCCCGGAGCGTGGTGGCTGGTTTCTCAACAAGCTCCGTCTTCTTCGTGATGATCCCTGACCTCTGAACCTGCACCTGTGACAAGAATCCATTAGTCTTGCTCATTCAGAATATTAACTGAGAGCACACTGTGCCATTGCTCTGCATCTTGACTGGAAACTTGGTACCTTCCAAGTGCTATTCAATCTGTTGGTTTGGGTTTTATATATTTTATAGATCCTTCATGTATTTATTTGTTTGTTTGTTTTAGCACAAAAATATACAAATTTAAACAGAGCAACTTCTCAGAAGAGAAGAGGAGAAATCACACACACACACATGAGGTCTTTATCAACTTTACTGAAAATGCAGCATGTAGGACAGTTAATTTATTTTTCCTAGAAACACTGCTTGGAAATGGCAGAAAATATTAAGTCTGCAAGGTATTCATTGGATCTTCTGTATACCTGTGTTTTTGTGCCTAATATGGTAAGGAGAAGACTGAAAGAAATCTTGGTAATTGGAGCAAGTCATTTCTATATTTTCCTGGCTGCAGAAACTTCTTTTTGGAATTGGAGAACAGCTAAAAAGAGATCACTGGATCAAATTTTGATGCTTTTTCTTCATGGTCTCTAGCACTGAATGGTTTCTCTTTTGTTATAGTGGATCAGTGTTCCATTTGCCATGTCCCATCCTGCAGTAAGAGATATTGGGTACACAGCTGTACATCACGTGTTCCAAGAACCTTGGCTTGGATCCATTAAAACACTGGACGTCTACACCTGGCTTGATAATTTCCTCTTACTGGTGAGCCTTCTCATGAGACTCTATGGCTTATAACCACTGCTCCTGAATGTTAGGAAGTCAAAAACTACACAATGGCTAAGCAAAAGATGCTTGATCAACTATACTGTGAATTTTTTTAACTCCCTGAACCTTTTTTTAACTGTCTAACCATATGCTGAACACACACTCTGCAGTTAGTGAAATAGCTTTGGGAAAGGAAAAAGAAGCCTCTTTTGCAGCTGGCTGAGGAAAGTCTAAAATAAGGAGGAGGACAGGACTGAGTAAATAAACTGTACAGGGAGTCATGCAGGTACTGCAAAGAGAAAGAGTTTGGATACTAATACTGAAGCACTAAGACTAATTATACTGGTGGATACTAAGAATTACGCTGGATTTAACGAGCATCCAGGTGGATTTATCCCCATACTTGGGATACAGAGCAGACAGACAAGTTTGCTCAAATGGCAGTGGGGCTATTTATCCACTCCCAATCATACGCTGACCATTAAAGGTGTTGACAGATTTTGGTTGGGGTTCAGCACCATCCAGAGCAGGTACGTAGGTCCACTGATGTTGGAGTCTCCATATGGCTTGCACTTCAACTCCCAGAATCCCCTGCCAGCACAACTGATAGTCAGAAATTTTTATTTATTTATTTATTAAAACATTTTTATGCCGCCCCATTCGCCGAAGCCTCGGGTTGGCTTACATCACTAAGTTAAAATAATTATAATATAAATTAAAAATATAAATATTAAATTAAAAATACAACAATACAGCATAAAATAAGCCGCCCTGGCCAGATAAAATCCAATAATATTAACAGTTAAAATGCCGCTTGAATAAAAAGGTCTTCGCCTGGCGCCGAAAAACAAATAACGACAGCGCCAGGAGGACCTCTCTGGGGAGCGCATTCCATAACTTAGGCGCCACCGCAGAGAAAGCCCTCCTCCGAGTACCCACCCTCCTAATTTCTTTCACGGAGGGTTCCCGGAGAAGGGCCTCCCCTGCCGATCTCAAGGGGCGGCTGGGCATATATGGATGCAAGCGCTCCTTCAGGTAACCAGGACCCAAGCCGTTTAGGGCTTTGAAATGCTCAGCGTAGACATTCAAAACATCTGGAGAACTACTTTCTGCCCACATCTGTATTGGGGAGCAGTCTAAAAGTGGTTTCATGCGAAATGAATTTCCAATACCATTTCTATTGCATCTTGCATGCAGGACAGGACAGAATGGGAAGATGGTGGGTGAGCAGCAGGAGCAGGTTGTTGACAGGTAACACCAGAAAATACATCTGAAGGTAACCGCATTTCCTTCAGATCTATGGCACCCACTTAACATGTAGATGTCTTAAAGAAGGGGCTTTCTATGCAACACAGCCATTTTGACTTGAGACTCACCAGGTCATTAGTGAGGCAGCCCCTCTCTGGGCTCACTCTCTGCCTGGAAGGAAAAGAGCAGGATATGCCAAATGTACAATGACTCCATTATTGCAGATTGTTTCTAGGTGAAAGGGATTTAGTAGGGTAATATGTCAGCTCCAGCAATGACAGGAGGTTTGTTTGCTGTCCTTTACAGATGTTGGGAGGAATCCCATGGCAAGCCTATTTCCAGCGAGTCCTCTCCTCTTCATCAGCGACGTATGCTCAAGTGCTCTCCTTTCTGGCAGCTTTTGGATGTCTTATAATGGCATTACCTGCAATATTGATTGGTGCAATAGGAGCATCAACAGGTACATTGAATCTCCAGATATCTGCTACTTAGAACAGCTGGTGCCAAAAGAATTACTCTAAAGCGCATGATTTTTCAATCCAAACATCCCCGGCACCCCTTCAAGGGGGCTTACACCACTTTTCTGCTTTAATCTATGTTTTAGGTGTTGTAGATCTTTGTTACATTTATAGTCCAACATTTCCCTCTAGGAGCCCATGATGGGCCTTCTCTCCATTTTATCCTTGCAACAACCCCCTGAGGTATTTGTTTGTTTATTAGATTTATATCCCACTTGTTCCTTACAAACTCAAAGCATCTTAAACTATTCTCCCTCTCCTGCTCCCAATCATATCCTTACAACAGCAACCCTGCGAGGTAGGCTGAGCTGAGAGTCTGCGACTGGCTCAAATTCACCCAGTTGGCTCCACGTCCAAGCAGGGACTAGAGCCCAGGTCTCCTGAGTCCCAGATCTGTGCTCTTAATCAATACACCACACTGGCACTCTATGTAGGCTAGGATGAGGGTCAGTGTGTTTTTTCTACCCGTTGAGCTACAAAATTAAGCTTGCAAGTGCATGGGTACATTTTAGTGGCTGATGTCAGAAGCTGAACAAAATTTCGACCAGTCACGTAGAAAGGGTTGAATTTTCTCTAAAGTGCTGTCCTTCACCACTTTCCTGGGAGGAGTACATTTGCTTAGTTAACACAAAGTATCCAGGTTTTAGATTTCAGGATCTCTTTGGTGCAGGAGCATGGCTTTTCCTTAGGGCAGATCCTGTAACAATCTGTGCATGTTTGCTTTACAGACTGGAACCAAACGGACTATGATGGCATAGACCCCAAGACAGACGATCAAGCTGACATGATTTTACCAATTGTCCTTCAGTACCTTTGCCCAGTCTATATCTCCTTGTTTGGCCTTGGGGCAGTGTCTGCTGCTGTCATGTCCTCTGCTGACTCTTCCATCTTATCAGCGAGCTCCATGTTTGCACGGAATATTTACCAGCTCTCATTTCGGCAAAGTGTAAGTGTAAGATTAAATGACCAGTGCCCTTTGTTCATTCCCACTGTCTGCTTGCCTTAACACTAAATGCCTTAATACTAAATGGTGTCATGTAGGAGCTTGTATAAGCTGTAAATTTTTCCACCAAATGAAAGTGCTCTTAGATATACATGAGTGAGTGAGCGAGTGAGTGAGTGAATGAATTGCCAAGAAAATCCAACACAGTTGCTTCTGCACTCAAAATGAAAACTTTTCTAACAAGACAGACCTGGTTAAAAGGGGAGGTGGGTTGAAAAGGCGAGTCAAGAGAATTAAATCCTTTCAACAATGCTTGGTAGTTACTCAAAAATGCAATGATAGAAGCTCAACTAGAATGTCTATCACAGGTTAGAAAAGGTAGCATCAAGTCTGAGAAGTTAATGAGCAATGTTAAGAAAGCTATAGGAGAAAAGAAGAAAAAGCCTTTAGAAAATGAAAGTCTTGCCCAAATGAGGAAAGCAAAAGTGAACATAAGTTTGCATAGAGAAGATGCAAGCAGAAAATAAGAGATACAAAAAAGCCTATCACTGATAACACCAAGTCCAATAATAAAGAATACTTTAAATATATAGGAAGCAGGAAACCAGGAGTGAGGGCAGGTGGACAGCTGGATAATAACAAACAAACAAAATAGCCTTTAGAGTTCTCTGAGCATATCCGTAAACATGTGGGAAATGACTGTGATTCAACAGACATTGTTTACTTGGACTCCAAAAGGCTTTGGGCAAGTTCATCTTACCCATCATGGAATAAAAGAACAGTTCCACTTGTTGAAGACCAATTGGTTAAAGAACAGAAAATAAGGAGTAGGAATAAATGGTAAATTCTCCCAATAGAGGGACATAAACAATGGAGTGCTTTTCATATGATTCATAAAATATCTGAAATTAGGAGTGAGCAATGGAGTAGCTAAGCTTGCGGATGACGTCTAATTCTTTAGGTGATTAAAAGAGAGCACAAGGTGTTCCAACAGGATCTCTCCAAACTGATAGGATGAGATCAAAAAGGCAAGAACAGTTCAGCACAAGCAAGCATAAAGTGACTCACACTGGGGCAAAAAACAAAAAAAATCTGAATTCATGTATAAGCTAATGGAATCTGAGCTAGCCATGGCTGACCAAGGAAAAGATAGTGATTATGTAGGTACTGTTTGAAAAAAAAACATGTTAAGCTCAATTAGGACAGGAACTGAAAATGAAACTGCCAATATTGTATCCCTTCCCCATCTAGAAATCTATGGTGCAACTACATTTAAAATACTGTGGACAGTTCTAGTTACTGTACATAAAAAAACTGCTATTGTAGAGTTGGGGAAAGCACAGAAAAGGCAACTTAAAAGATCAAGGGCCTAGGGCATGATGAAAGATTATAACCTCTGTGACTGCTTGGTTTGGGAAAAAAGGTAAGTAAGGAGAGACTTCATAGAAACGTAGAGAATTATGCATGGTTGGAGAAATTGGAGAGGGACATTTTTCTCCCCAGTATGATCATCAGCATCAGCATCAGCCTCTTCATTCCTGTAGCACCCAATATCCAAAGCTCTTGGGGCAGTTCGCAACAAGCAGAATGCAGAGTTGTCCCGTGAAGCTGATTGGTGGGAGGTTCAGGACAGATCAAAGGAAAGACTTTTTCATGCTTTGCATAGTAAAATTATAGAATTGCTTTCACGAGATGTAATGATAGTCATCACTTCAGTTTTTAAAGGGGATTGGACGAATTCATGGAGGAGAAGGCTTTCAGTGACTACTAGTCTTGAAGGCCATTTCCACAGCTGATATGCTGAAGCAGATGTGCACATCAGTCCAACGGGCACTTTTCTTTCTCAGTCCAATGGGCACAGACTGTCTGAATGAGGGGGGATATAATCCAAGGCAAGCAGGGCAGTTTTAGAATTGACCTTTTTTTAATAAATTCCTTCAGGTATATGCTGCACCAGATACTTCAGATAGCTGGGAGTAGGGTATGGAATTATTGTTCTCCAGCTTTCTTAACATTAAAGGGTTTGTGTGTTTGAAAAGGATCCTAGTCACCCCTCTGGATTAATAGTTTTCTATGTGCAGTTAGGATTCTTGCTTTATGTTGAAGTTTTTTTCAAATATGCAAGCTCCATCCATTCATTTTGCACCAGAAAGACTGTACCAGGTAACATATCTAGACATTTTGCTTGAGTTTTAGTCACTAGTCAAGAGGATAATGTATCAGTTCCTGTAAAGGAAAAGAACCTGCATCTTTAAGGCTCTACATTTGCTGGATACTTACAGAGTGGGCCTACCATGAGCCAGAATTTTATCAGTTCAGTTTGGTAATGAACTGTGAATATGCGAGATTCAGGAGTTTCTTTCTGCTAATCTTCAGTCCATATAATTCCAGCTTTGTGATAACAATTAATGGCAAAAAAACCAACCCCAAACAAACCAATATTGTTATCTTACAGGCATCAGACAAAGAAATAGTTTGGGTCATGCGAATAACCATTCTCCTGTTCGGAGCATCTGCAACAGCAATGGCCCTCCTAACTAAGTCGGTTTATGGACTTTGGTACCTCAGCTCTGACCTCGTCTACATCATCATCTTCCCGCAGCTCCTGTGCGTGCTTTTTATCAAAGGAACTAACACCTATGGTGCCATTGTGGGATATCTGTTTGGCCTTTTACTCCGAATTACCGGAGGAGAATCGTACCTGCACTTGAAACCCTTGATTTTCTATCCTGGCTGGTACAAAGACAATGACATATACATCCAGAGATTCCCTTTTAAGACGTTGGCCATGCTTACCTCCTTCTTCACTAACGTTGGAGTATCCTATCTCGCAAAATACTTGTTCGAAAGTGGCACTTTGCCTCCCAAACTAGACATCCTTGATGCTGTTGTTGCAAGGCATAGCAAGGAGAACATGGACAAGGCTACACTTGTGAAAAGTGACAACATTGTTCTAAACGAGCTAGCACCTGTAAAGCCTCGACACAGTTTGACATTGAGCTCGACCTTCACAAATAAAGAGGCCTTCAGCGACATTGATTCAAGCCCAGATGTATCCATTATGGAAGACAATTGACCATCACCTAGCCGAAGAGAAATACTGCTTTCACATCCCCCATAATGCAACAGGGTATGCCACAAAGGAAGCAAAAGGCATTTTAGTTGAGGAAAAACATGGAGAGGGCAATGGCCCTAACAAGCAGCCACTGCACAATTCACTTAGTTTGTTTCTAGGAACAAAAAATAGTCTGTAGAATAAATGCGTCTGTATTATAATAGAACATGTTGGGTGGGATTATAGAATATCTTGTTATTCCAGCATTTGAGTGAAGTTGAATACGACAAACTGGGGGAAAAACTGGTTAGTCTTCCCACTCCCTGCAGAAAAGGAAATGCATCACCAAAATATGAAGACAAAGTTTTCCATTAAATTTGCATATTCCAAATAATTCTAATTTGAATGAAAATGCAAAACATCATAGTGGCCATAGTTGGGAAGTCACTGAGCAGGTGACCTGAGTGCCTTTTCAGTCTGCTGTCCAGGTACTATCTGGTGACAGGGAAATTCAAGATGCAGTTCTCCCTTCTGAAGTTCCTTTACTTTTAAACTGGAGTTGGATGGGACAGACTTTCAGATACAGGACAATTTCCTCTGTAAATTAGAACGCACAACCACCCCAGCAGAGGAGAGAGAAAAGATGCTATCAAGTCACATTGGCAATGGAGGCATAGGGAATGCTTGTATTTCTGTACTAGGAAGATTCAACTGGTTAGAATGAAAAGAAAACCGTTATTTCTTACTACAGAGGAACAGAAGCCCCATGCGATTCCTCTGTTGCTGATTCGTACCATTTCGGACTGTAGGACAACACTGGATGCTTGAATTAAATATGAAATAGTAAATTGGAAGGGTAAATTGGAATGCAAGTTCCCTTGGGTGAGAATCTTGAATCCATGGGGTTTTGGTCGACCTCAAAATGGGATTCTCCTCCTCTCCAAGCAATAAAGCACCTTACCTTTGCAGAGGTGGGATGGGTAGGCAACATCACCCAGGACCTGCTAGAAAAGGAGGAGCCTTGTGGGGCCTGAAATTTGTGCTCAAGGGACAGCAGTTGCTTCTCAGTGTTATGGACCAGTACTAGTATTAAAAACTTTATTGGCATAGCTGCATAGTATCATAAAACCTTAGTCTAAAACATGGAGGCTTAGATCAACTAGCTTCCCTGAAGAACAGGGAGAGCAGAGCTCCCTCTTCAGGACTTCACAATCCAGTTCAAATAAGCTGATACTTGGTCCAGAGCCTTGGGCATTTTAGCAGAAAAGATAGACCATACTTTAGCCACATCCAACCAGACAGGCATCCTTTCTAGAACTGGCCTGAGGTCTTTCTTACAGACACCCCTGTGAAGGGAGCAGTAGAACAGCATGTGCGCCCGTGTTTCAACACTGCCGCCTCACCTCCTTTCATCATAGGAAGTCCTGTTAAAGCTACCATAGAGCAATGCTGTGAGGGCATGACATTACATCTAGAGATGTTATGGAGCTTGTAGCTTTTGAACCCTCCTTAACTTTAATGGGGAGGAAGAGGAAAAAGCTGGCTTCAGCCAATACATCCTGCCCAGCAGCCTGGCATTTGAGTCAGGAAAAACCCATGATGGAAACAATACTCCCACCTACTACTTCCCTCTAAAGGCAGGGCTACACGCCATCTGTTCTGCCTGGTAAGTCCTTCTTGTCAGTTCTTCTTCGCCCTTCACAAAAGCAAAGGGATTCTCCTTCAGAAGGAGAGAAAACCTTTAGTCAAGCGAGTTGCGGAGCATTTGCCAAGTGTTTCTGGTAAATGCATATAAAACCCCTTGAAGTTAACAGGGAGGGTGGCCATTTAAGAATCACCAAAGAAGAGGAAGTCCATCCCCAAAATAAGGACACCGATTTGCATAATTTTTGCATTTGGTATGCTCTATGGATAGATGCACATTTAGACATTATTATTATAATCTATAATTTACATGTTGCCATAGTGCAGAAGACGGTGACCAGGTGACCCGTGTGCCTTTCTCAGTCTTCAGTCCAGGTGCTGTTAATGGGCAACTTCAGCTCTTCCTACAGATGGTTCTTGACCTGAGCTGGCTCCTCCAAATAGAGATTACCTCCAAGCGGAAGACAATTCTCGGCCAGCCCTACACACAGTACTGTTGCCTACAAGGCCACCCTATAAAGAGGGCCCTCAAAACACTTTCCAGGTAAGCAGCGGGAGGGGAGCTGCTCACTGGTGGTTTGACTGTCTCACCTTTCGAGCTCAAAATGCTTTCTGCAGCATGAGAGGAGCCCTGCTGGATCAGGCCAAAGCCCGTCGTGGTCCAGCATCCTGCTTCTGGCAGTGGCCAACCAGATGCCTGTGGAAAGCCCTTGTTTGTGCTCCCCAGCAACTGGGATGCAGATGCTTATCCCCTCTGATCTTGGGGGTTATATGCAGCTGGGACCCATGACCAGTAGCCATTGACAACCCTGTCCAATCTCTTTGACAGCACTAGCAAGTCAAGGAAAGGCTAGCTTAGCATCTTCTTCCTTGCATGCTGGTCTTGTACGTGTGATGAATACATCTTATGTACAAGCATTCGTCCAACTAATTCCATGTTTTGTGCATGTTTCCATCCCAAGGCCAGCTGTATATGGATACATTTGGTTTTACTGTACCTGGACCACTTATCAGACTTTTGATTATATACCAGTATCCTCTTGAAAGTTGTAACACATGCTCTTGCAACATGGTATGAATTTTTGGCTCAGTTCATGCATTCTCTTAAGCGGGGTGGGCAGAAGGTCCCACTGGTTGGGGCTTTGAGAAGTTTAAGTCCAGCTATCTGGAGATCTTTCTTCTTATATCTGCTCTTAAAGATCTTGGTTAGGGCTTTTCACTTCTATCCACCAGAATCCACCAAGATTATCCAGAACAGTCCATCTGTGCAGAAGAGGTGTTGGCTTGTGATCATGACCTGGTTTTCCTTCTGAGATATGAGGTCAATTCAATGCCACTCCTCATCCATAAAATTATGCAGGAATGAATGATTTGCTTGTAGTATTTGCCTACAAGTATCAAGAAAGGGCTTGATGATCAAAATTGTGGTGGCACCTTCCTTTTTTCCTTCTTCAGAACTGAAAATTAGGCAGGAAGAAAACTGCTTGTGTTACTGATCAGCACGCCATCCAAATCCTTCCTGCATGGGCTGAGCATGCTGTTAATTAATTAATTCTACCCAAGCATAGAGCAATCACTTGAGTTGAAGACTGAATCTAAGAGACATGGTCCAAAGGGTTGGTTTGTTATTGACATGGAAATTATTAGGACTGATCTGACACCATTTTCACCACTCCAGTGGTAAGGGATGTGTGCTGCTGGGGGTGAATGAGTCCTAAAATGAGGAAAAAGCCTGATGCACCATCACTTCTCCAAGGGGCCACCATTTTCAATGCCAGCTCCAGAATTTTGAGAGGCCTTGGAGAAGGCACCATCCTCCAATCAATCATAGCCATAGCCTGCTTGATTGGCTGGCAGAGTGCCAGGGAGCCAAGCAGGAAGTAGCATCTACTGTTTCCCCTTCTCGCCACAATTATTGCTGTCTGGGCCAGGACAAGTGGCGGGCAAACAAGAAAGTTTCCATAGGGAAGAGGGGAAGCAACTCTGCAGGCCTCCTGTCAATGGGTCCAAACAGGTGCTCAACCATGCCTATCCTTGACTCCAGCCCTGGACAGTTTCCCCCACACAGCTGTGATGTAGCGTTGTTCCAAGGAGGATTCTGGGAGAAAACTGTGGCTGTCAGCAATAGTGATATTTTCCCATAAGCATCCTTATATGTAATGAAGGATCATCAGAGAGGAAGTTGTGGAGTGGAATGGCAGCTGCCACCAGGAGGGGCATTTTCCATCAAGAAAGAGGGCATAGTCAGGCTGTTGTTGCTGCTGTCGGCAAGAACTATACCAGTTTTGTCCTTCATTTTGTCACCCAAGTGTCCAACCCCCACTTTTTTCATAAGAGGACTTTCAGTGCAGCCTCAGAAGCGAGATGTTTTCTTCTTTAGCAAAGCCAGGGCTCCGCTTCAATAGCCTTGCACTGCAGGGATGTCTGATGCTTTTTGGCAGCAGCCACAGGAAGGCGAAGGAAGGCAGCATCATTGCTTTATTCAATGAAATCTTGCTCTTTGAATCATAGAATAGTAGAGTTGGAAGAGCCAAGAAGGCCATCAGGGCCAACCCCCTGCTGTTTCAGCGCACCGCGTTACACCATCCCACTCAGATGGCTGTCCAGGTTCTTTTCGAATGTCTCCAGTGTAGGAGAGCCCACCATCTCTCTAGGCAGCTGGTTCCACTGCCATATTGCTCTGACAGTGAGGAAGCTCTTCCTGATGTCCAGGCTGAATCTGGGTCGTCGTGACTTGACTTGATTATTCCATGTCCTACATTCTGGAACCAGCAAGATCTTGACCTTCCTCTTGGTGATAGCCTTTGAGGTATTTATAGAGGGATAAACCTTCTATATTCCATAAGGAAATATAGCCCCTCCTACTAGCCATTTGTAAAGAGGGAGAGACAGACAACAGGAAAGGACTGGTTGCACAGTGGCTGGGCCCTGATGAGCGACCACATTCCTTGGGATCCACATCTGCTCTTTGGGGTCAAATCTGCTGCTTCCTGCTTCTGGCCCCACTGCTGAGATATGTTGAGGGCTGTTCATCTGCTTCTACCAACCACATTCAACTTAGCCCCTGGCAAAGAAAAACAAATGATTGTCTGTGCTTTGTGCCCCCGTTATTAATAAAATTATTATTATTTTGCAAGGATGACTCCTTATTGGCCCTCAGGCACACATGCACATGGGCATGCAAAGCATTTCACTGATTTCTACTCCGATATATGTTTATCACATCCTAGCTTTTTAATATTTTTAAAAAGTTCAGTTTAACACAAAATTGTTTATCTCATTTTTTTCTTTTGTGAACCACAGCACTAAAGGTAATTAAACTACCTCTGTCATGCCCTCCTTTCTACCATATGGAGTAAGGTAACTTAGAGAGATGG